CTCTTCATTTGTTCTGAGACATCAAGGAAGTATCCATGGTTTGTAACAAAATTCCTTTGTAAAGTAAATGCACAGTGATGTATCAAAAATAGCTTTTGGCTTAGCACAATGCATAAAACATGTCATTATGGGTTAGTTATATATGATTCAGGCTGTGGTGATTTGCTCAACCATGGTTTATAAATCTGGCTTACTGTAATGTGTGCACACAGCCTAAGTAATTTTAAGCTTGATAAGCCAAATCTGAAAGAACCTATAACTCTAGGTCAGTGCTTTTCAACCTTAGCCACTTAGTCAGTCAGTTAACGTGCTAACAGAGGAATTCAGGGAGTTGGTCCACACATCTTAAAGTGGATAAGTCTGAGAAACACTGCTGTAGGTAATAGTCATTTCTACTTACGGCAATTTTTAAAATGATTTGAGAGCTATAGAAACCTCCTTATAAAAAATGGTTCAGGAAAGGTTGAGACTTAGAATCGGAGAAAGAAGCTGCCACAGAAATGAAAAAATCTTACACTTTGCCTACAAAATTTAACATGCTTCACTTTCTATAAAAAAAAGATAAATGAAAACAACTCATAACAAATGATAAAAACAAATTCCACCTGGAACGTTGCTGATCTAACTAATGTTGGTCGTCATTCTCAAAGTTGCATTACCGTACCATACGGCAATGCACTTCTTGATATTTATATGTTGACGTGGTTCCCTTACTGTTGGAAACAGCCTTTAAAGCCCAGTAGATGTAAAAATTAAGGCCATTTCCAGTCCTAATAATTTATTGTCCTGACCATTTGTGCTGAGAATTAGAAACATGGTCTACATTCACTATGAGGTTTAAATCTTGATTGTTACTATAACCCAAAGAATGGATATGGCAATTTGTTTTCCTATAACTTTTTTCTTTATAGGTCTTAAGATACAGGTGTTTCAGTAGGTAGTAGAGAATTGATAGATCACCTGTTTTCTTTCTCCGCTTTATGCAATCTCTCAAATCCAAAACCACAAAACAGTCCAGGAGAAGTCAGTTATATGGGTTTGGAAGTCACAGGTCTGTTTCAGTTATAGGTCTATCTCACCACTGTTTTTACTCCCCAACCCTCAGAAGCAGTTCGCTTGGAGTTGTAGCTCTAAGAGCACTGGCTCTCAGCACTTTTTATTCTGTAGATCACAAGGGTGTTAGGAGCAGAGAAAGCAAACAAGGGACTTCCTCTTCGTTCTTTTTGGTACCTCTGTTCAGTTTCCCCTCGATTAATACTCTTAAGCTCTACTTTTCAGCCTGCTTCCTACAGGACAAGTAAAGTATTTCCTTCTAGAAAGGTATAAAACATTTCATATAGAAAATATTCCATGGACAAAACAACTAGGTTCTGGTGCTCTGTGTCTGGACTGAAACTCAGGAGCCAGGAGGAATGCAAGACAAGAGTTTCTCAAACTTGGAAACAGGACATCTAAAACATCTCTAGCTTTGCAATAGTTTCAAGTATAGTTGAACTGAAAATATATCAGCTCAGCTTATGCTCAAAGGCACTACAACAGTAGTCTAGAGTTGCTTTCAAACTGACACAAAACCTTCATGTACAAGTGCCTTAAATCACACCATTAGATCCTACAACCCAGTCATTATACTGAATGACAGCACCTCCCCAACACTTCAGACATACATTTTTTGAAGATCAAAGAGTTTGGAGTATTTTACATGATGGTGCTAAGATCTGAAAATTGTGTTCTGATACATCATTCTGAGAATGAATCTATGTTTCCTCTGCGTATTTTATTTATTTTATTTATTTATTAAACTTGTCCCCGCCCATCTCCCCCCACTGGGGGACTCTGGGCAGCTCACGACATATTAAAACAATAAATAGATATACAATTAAAATTTATAACAGTACATGTTTACAGAAATAAAAGGGAAAAAATCCAGGAGGCTGATGGTTTGGTATGATGTGCATATTCTTTGTCAGCTGCCTCAACACTGCAACCACATATAACTTTTGATTTTTTAATAAACAAGGCCTCCTGAGGCTATATACTTTTTTATAGCCCCCCTCCTTAAATTATATATATATATATGTGCGTGTGTGTGTGTGTGTGTGTGTGTGTGTGTGTATCCTGTATTTAAAGAGCCAGAGGAGCCTTCTTTGGGTGTTATTAGATTTCTAAAAATAATAGCATCTCTTTGCCAAGATTGAACAGAGCCACCTTTATCTTCCAAAGTGCTAACACTAAGACTTGTGGCAACTGCTTTCACAACCTAACTGCTCCGTAGTTTGTACCTATGTATAACTCTGTATATTTAACAGTGACAACACAGATTTACAGACATTGCAGACAAAAGCAGAACACCAATTCATTTTTTTAAAAAGCCCTGTAAAACTACCTGCTTGCATAGCCAACTTTATTTAGCCAGATCGTCTGGTATAAGTGTTCATATATAATCAACTATTTGTAAACACGGAAGTGCTATTAACATAGAACAATATTTACATGAAATTTAAATAAGGACTCAAACTATATTTGGGTAAGGAACACTTTCAAATAACAGAAAGTCTACAGTACATTGCAATTCTTTAGAAACCAATGAGGTTATTTAAATCAAATGAGTGGTTTCCTGATAATCAATAGTAATTAGGATAGAAAATAAGGAAGAGATGTTGCTTATCTATGTATAAACCTGTATGCTCTCCAGCTGAGGATGAGAAAAAAAAAAAAGGCTGTCCTACATAATCCAATGCTTGTGTCAAATGAATGCTTTAGAGTCTCTTGGAATGGGAAGAATTTAAAATGACCCATATCAGCACCTTACATATACAGGTAGCCCTAGTTTAAGAACAAGTTCTGTTCTCAAGGCCTATCCTTAAGTCGAATGTGTATGTAAACTGGAACAGTATTATTGTATAATATTATATAAGTAGTATTGTGTAATTAACTTGAATAATTGTGTATTTAACTTGAATTTTACAATAAGCTCTGTTCTATGGGTTGTCCATAAACCAGGCATTCTTAACCCAGGGACTATCTCTACAGAACTATTCTGCCTTCTTGATGAATAGACTCTACAATTAAGGTGATTCAATTCCAAAGTACTTTTCAAAATTTTAAAAAAACAAACCCAAAGTGTTATTTTGTTTCAAATCTTTTACAGTACAGATAATATGGAGTTTGATGATCAGAACCAAACCCAGAAGCCATCACCTGCAAGCAATGTTTGCACGCCTATCTTTTTGTTGCTTTTTTCTGAGTTACCTTTTTATACTCACACATAATACTGCTGCCATAATGGAAAGGAGTTATAAATGGCAACTGGTTAAAATGTCCTGGGGAGTATGAATGAGAGAGTCAGTTTAGTATAATGGTTTAAGTCACCAGGCTAGAACCTGGGAGTCCGTGAATTCTAGTCCTGCCTGAGGCACAAAGCCAGCTGGGTGACCTTGGGCAAGTCCCTCTCTCTCATCCTTAGAAAGAAGGCAAGGGCAAACCACTTCTGAAAAATCTTGTCAAGAAAACTGCAGGGACTAATCCAAGCAGTAGCCAGGAGTCAACACTGACTCTGACTTGAAAGCCTTCACACAAACAAAGTATGAATGGGATAATCCTGTTCTATTCATGCTGTCTTTGTGGACTTCTCAAATATTGGCCATCGCAGGAACCAAATGCTGGACTAGACAGGCCTTTGATCTGACCTGATCCAATTGATTCTAATGTTAATCCTGAAGAAGAGATTAGTTCCTACTTTTAAAAAACCTCTAATTCCCATCAGTGAGAGCAAATGTCAAATCAAATGTTTCCCAAAGCAAGCAAGTTCCTATCCATGGTAAACAATTTAATATAATAAGCATGGGCACATCTGTCCACATATACTCCCACTCCTCAGCTATCTGTTGGAGCTTGGTTCATTTACAGTGTAAATTCTTGTGGCTCATTTTTATGCTACCCACAAACTGACACAGTGAACGTATATTATTTTCTTGTAATTTACATAGATCACTTCTTCTCCCTAGAACTAGCTTCATTTATTTCAGCAAATCTGAGGATCAGTTATATTACCTTTAATATGTGATTAGTTTTGATTTAGCGGGATATATAAACTTACCCATTAAGACTTATGGTGTGAACTTAGTACTGGTGAGCTGAGCTTATCATTATGTTGTAGCTCAGCCAATGTGGTCTGGTCTGTGCATACTGCATTTGTTCATTCAAACTTTCATCTGAATCTATGTTGCTTACAGTTAATATGTTACAAAATATACAACCTTGTATAACCGTCATAGTAAAAAATGATGCAAACCTTAAAGATATAACATCAATACAGTCATGTAAAGTAGCAAGAGGGCGTGTCCAGCTAAGATTTCAAGCGGGGGATAAAATTTTGAGCGTTCCTGTTGCTCCACAAGCAAATAGCAAGGCTACCAGCAAAACTCCGGGGGCCCGCTGGATGGTAGCAAAGAGTGTTTTTGTTTTTCTTCGCTGGTCTATAGTGACCACCCGGATTTTTGCAGCCCAGATACGATGGTCTTCTCAAGCACCTACCAACTACGTGTCAGTGGAAAAATAACCCAGCACGAATGGCGATTTTCCAACGTTTCATACGTTAGATACGTTAGCTATCTAACGGCAGAGGATATTTTTTTAAAAGCGAGTCAGCATTTCAGGGCGCAATTCTCATCTGTAGTCAAGGCCACCTGCGCTTCCCCTATACGCCGCCTCAAGTAAGCTCAGCGGTGCGTTATTATTTCAACCGCTCTCCCCCAAAGTTTGAAATCTGGGTCTCAACCAAACTGCGGCCCTACTAACGAAGGGAGGAACGTAACTTTCTAAATTATACTCCATCTTTCCGACGGTGTCTCTGTCACCCACCGTTTTGTGCTCAAGAATGACAAAACACGCAGAAAACTCTGAGAGGAGCCAAAGTACGTTTCGCGCTCAGACTACATTTCCCAGAAGCCCGTAGACTGGCGTGAGGGAACAGGAAGTGAGGTATGCGCCCGATGCATGGTCACAGGGTAGAGGCATAGGCGGCTTGGGGCATGTGGCTCGTCCGCCGCCTGCTCTAGACGTGGGGCCTACGGTCATGGTCATGCGTGTGGGATAGAGGTTGCTGCTTCCACGCCCCCCAAACGCGAGGCGAGAGCATGGCAGTGGCTGCGAGAGAGCAGAAAGAGCTGCTGGCTCTCATGCACCAGCAGTTGGTCCAGATGGGTTATGAGAGAGCAGCAAAGGAGTTGCTGGATCAGAGCGGCCAGGTAACGGCACCGTCCCCCACGTGGCTGGAAACATGGGGACCGGCGGTATTGCTGCTTTCTGGAAATTAGCCTTTGGGCCAGGTTGCAAACCGAACTGCGCCCCTACGAAGATTTCTCCCTCGGTCTGATAACGAGGCTGCAGTAGCTTCTCCTGGAGGTCTGAAATGGGTAGCCTAGTCCTTGGGTCACTTTCTCGTGTGTCCCCCTCCTCTTTTTGATCTGAAAGCCAATAATTCATAAGAAGGGAGTTCAGTGGAGTGGTGTATTTATTTTTTTAAAGCATGTGGTTTTGTGGTGCTCTCCTTTTGTGGCTCAGTATCCTCTCTCAGGAATATCAGTAATACTGGCCTGCTTTACAGGACTGTTTGGAAGAATATACTCTGTTATTAAAATAGTCTCTCTCCTTTCTCTTTGGACACTTAGGGCAGTGATCAGAATAAGTACATTCTCAGGATAAGGGATATGGAAGTTGTTAAAACACTTATGCATCTTACAAATTCTTGTGTGTTTAAGCATTCTTGTGGCCGTGCAACATACCGAAATATGCAATGGTCATTGTGGGATAATATTATGGAATAAAGGTAAATGCTCAAATAAAAGGCATGAGGCAAATTGCAACTTACTTTAATTTTGCCTGTTTTTAACCTCTGAAGGATGTATTTCCAGGTCATCAGATGCCCTTATTCTATATTCTTAATTTTCATAAATCACTTAGAGATTTAATACTAGTTAACAGGAAATGAACATTTAGTAAAACTGCACTGGTAGTGCTTATAACCACTTTGCTGGCAGAATCTCCTCTTCCTCCTATTTTCAGTTTCATTTCATTGTGGGAGAGAACCAAAATGGCAACTGCTGTCTACTTAAATAGCACATGGGTCCTGCAGTTCCATTAGTTTGGGAATTGCAGTTCAGTTAAGTTCAGATTCATTCACTCGCTTGCAATCAGGAACTATAAATAATAAAACTTTTTGCCTTTTGTAGGCATTCCTATGTCTCTGTTTGTAAGACAAGTTAAACCATAAGGTTTGGTTGGTAAGTTTGTGTGCTGCTGTATTATCCCCCATCACATGTGACTGAAACTGGCCATTTACAAAGATCTGAAATGAATGTCTTCTTGGGTGGGTTTGAAATCAGCCTTGTTGCAGGTCTCCATGTCCAGTTTCCAGATTTCCAGAATGGCATCTGTTTCAGTTCCAGTGATGTAGTAAATTGCAATTTTCAGTTCAAGAGACATACATCAAGGGGGGCAAGATAGTGGTGTGTTTTTAGTATGCTGTGTGAACAGACCACAACCTTTGTATGGATTATAATTCATATGTTTTTAGTTTTGATTGTTACTATTTGGCTAATGAAAAGTAAAATGCTATGTTTTTCTATAAGTGCTATATATTTCTATGCTGTGTTGTTTTTATATTAATAGAAGAGAATATATGTAGCTCAGGGTTGTAATATAGAGTCCTTGAGGTTCTCTGAGCTTGGTTGTTTTCTTGCAGATATTTCATTACCCAACTAGGTAACATCTTCAGTGTTAGAAGGGAGTGGGGTTTGCTCTCTTTATATACAGTAGCTTGCCCTATGGGGGGGTGGGGTGTTTCTGGTAGTTCCTTGATTAGGGTATTGTTTACTGCTTGATTGCTTGTCTGGTATTAATCCTGGTGTTAATCCCTGCTTATCTGGGTATTGATTGGGTCTTTTTATATTTTCACTGAACATAGTTTTGTAATGATGCTCAAATGAAAATATATAGAGCTACATTAGAAGAGCCAAGGACTAATAGTCCATTGTCATTGTTTATTACAGCTTGTGCTGATACCCTTGAACCTGTTAACTGGGTTCTTATATTGTGCTTGTTGGTATGCTTGAGATTCTACTTGCTGTGTATCAGAAAGGCACCCAATTGATATGATTGGTGTAGTATTGTAGGGAACATTGACCCACCTAAGCTGCCTCTGCTTTCTGTTCCACTAAGGCTTCCAGCACACCTGTGCAGACATTGCTCAGTGAATTGTAGCTGAAACAGTACAGTGTTAAGTGGGGAAAAGTATGGTTTTTGAATAGGAACTAATCTGAAAGCACTCCCCATTATGTATTTTACTTCCCTATTTACAATATGTATAGCCTGCCTACAGGATCTTGTGGCAGATGACAATCCCTGAAAACAAACCAAGGAAAATAAATAACTTGCTATGATTACTGTGCATTTTAAATTAACACTGACAAAGAGGCACTTAAGGGTGAAAATCATGGTCAGGCTGTGGATGCTAGGGCATGTGGCACCAATGCCAACCTGGCCTCTGAGGAAAGAGCCAAGGTGCTATAACAAAGAAGGCATCTCCTGTGGTCCCACATAATATGCAGTCTCCTGCTTCAGGATGCTAAGAACTCCCACCACTTAAAGATGTGACCTTTGGGGAAGAACATAGCGGGAAAGGTGCTTCCTCAAGTGTTGGGGTCCTAAACCATTTGAAACTTTAAATAGTATTGCTAAAAGCTTGATGTCTGACAAGTAATGCTTAGGTAACCATGCAGTTCTTTTAGGATTTGTTATGACATTTCTGAAGGGTGTCTCAGCGATCTGCCTCATTCTGCACTTCCCAAGTCATCTTCAAAGAAAAACGCCATATGCTTCAGACAGTCATGCCCTGGACACCACAGCTTGACAACTGCAGTGTGCTCTACATGGGGCTGCCCTTGAAGACCACCTGGAAGCTTCAACTGGTCCATAATGCAGCATCATGAGCAGTGATGGAAATGCCTCAGTATGCCCATGTAACACCTCTGCTTCATGAGTTGCTCTGGTTGCCAGTTTGCTTCTGGGTGTAATTCAAGGTGCTAGTTGTTACCTAGAGCCTGGTTACTTGAGACTTGCCTGTCTCCCATAGTATCTGCCCAGCCAGTTTGATGTGGCAGGATTGGTGCGCTCCGGGTTCCATCGATTAAGCAATGCCATCTTTCAGGACTCTGGAAGTGTGCCTTCTCTGTAGCAGCACTTGATAAAGTGGGCTTGACATAAAGTGTCAGTGCTAAATATTAAATATATTAAAACAATAGAGGAAGCAAGGGATTAGGGTGGTCATTGAGCATTGCCTCAAAATATGAAATCTTAATAATGTAAAAGTTGACTCTGCTTATGTGCGCGCACACCTGCATACATACACATCCAGCATGCATTTGAACAAGCCACTTGTTCTCTTTAGCCTTTGGTGAACCCATCCTGAATTTTGTTTACAATGAGGGTGGTTTAAGCTGTTATCCTAACTTTAGAGTTGTGATAAAGAATGGTCAGTTGCAGCTGATTGAGATGGGGATAGGAGACGTTCTAGTGTTTGTTTTGAAAACATTGTGGTCTCTAGAATGATTTGTATAGCTTAAATTAGTTGACAGTGTGGTATAGCAAAACACTGGCAGTAATTTTTAAACACAGCATGTAATGTTGTTTACAGAAAATTCTGCTTAGTGCAAGTAATTTCAATAGTTTTATTCAGGTCCTCAACTCTTATGCATTTATATTTGTAAATCTTCTTGTCTATTGAAGGTCTGTAGCATCTTGTCTTCATTTGAACATTTACTGCAGTAGGACAGTATTTTCTTACCCTTATATTCCAGATGGGTAGATCACAATTCCCACCATCCCTTAACTGCTGTGTGGCAGATTCCCAACCTGCAATAAAGGTGTCTAAGTGTAATGGGAGTAATCCTTCTCAGAAAGAGACAAAACAAGAATTTAGTCATAATTGCTCACTAAAGTCACTTTCTAGTAGGGTTGTACATAGTTCAGAAATTTTTCAGGCTTTGCATGAACCAGCACCTCTTTGCTATTCATGAAGCAGCCATGTTTTTCAGGCTTCCATGTGCCTGAAAAGAAGATCTTGTCACTTTAATGAGTAAGATCTGAAGCAGTTCTTCTAGATAATTTTTGAAGTGTGCACAGCCCTGCTTTGTGGGATGAAATTGGAAGAGTGGATAAAAATGGTGAGTGATTTCATACATCATGCAAGCCATGGATTTTTTAGGTATTGTATATCTTACTGAATAAGCTATAATTGGCAGGGCTTTCACATCATGCTAAATCACAAATGTTGGTTTGTAAGCCACAAAAATGTAATTCATGTAACATGTTATGTTGAAACCAAAGTACTTTATTTGTTTAACTATAGGATAGATATCTAGTAAATAATCAAAAAAGCTTCTACCTGGCTCCATGTGATTTATGTATAACTTAGTACTCTCATAAAAGTAGGTTTAGTGCATAAAATTTGAAAGTAAAGCTTATTGGGAAAGAATAATAGATGTATTAAATTCATCTTCAAATGTTTTAATTTTTTTTATTACTAAAAGCTGTTCAGTTGTACAGATTGTAATTTCTCTTTCTTTTGGCTTGTGGTGGGGTCAGATAAAGATTTAACTTTGAAAATAAAAGAAAGCACCAACATTATAGTTTTCAGAAGGTGAGGAAACTGTTCTTGAACCCAAAGTATTATCTTTGTCATTTCTTTCTATTTCTTTTGATCCCTTATTCTCATTTAATGGATTTCTAAATAGTTTAAATGTGCCTGTATTGTGAAGAACTTCTCTGTTTCTTCACATTTTAGTTAGTTGGGGATTTGGTTGAATATTTCCCAACACAAATGGTTATTTTACTTTTAAACCAGTTCATATATCATTTGAAGGGAAATGCTTCATGATCCTTTTTTTTTCCCTGAACTTTTTTGGATCTTTTCTTTCACCCAACCATTATAAAGGCTTCTAAAACTTGAATATAATAAAAAGGGTGAAGAGGTCATGTTTCGGTCACTGTTTGGGGCTATTAGTTTACAAACCATTCAGACTAAAGCCTTGGTGACCGCAGATCTTGACAAGCAAGAAATTACAGTGGTACCTCGGGATACGAACTTAATCCGTTCCGTGACTCTGGTTGCAACTC